CTCTATTCTCCTTTAGAGCAGTGATGCAATCAGGAACTCACATGTGCAGATATTTGCTCTCCTGTGAAATGCTTGGGAGCTTTTGGAAGGAAAATTGTCAATCTACATGCTTCAAAGTCTAATAGTCTTCACACATCTCTCAGGTTCTACTGGTTGCTTATTTACACATTTATACACTCTTGTACTTTGAGTACAAGCACAACAGTATCAGTTAAAATAGTTTTGCAGAGCAAAACTTTCTTTCCTTGGGTCCAGATATACTACTAAAAACATGCCTTAAATCAGTTGTAAGCAGACAAGGTTCTTTGGGTAAATGTGATTATCTTTTATTAGAACAACTAAACAGTTGGAAAAAAATGTTATTTACAAGCTTTCAACCACAAACACTCTTCTTCAGGCATAGGGAGAGTCTGCTGATGTTTGTGTACTCTTGCCTGAAGAAGGGTGTTTGTGCCTGAAAGCTTGTAAAGAACATTTTTTCCAATTATTTAGTTGGTCTAATAAAAGATATTGCATTTACCCAAAGAACCTTGTCTGCCTATGTCCTTAGGCTAACACGGCTATAACCACCAAAACATTAAATTAGTTGTAAAACACTCCTCTGTCACCTTCTAAGCTGTAGCACTTAAACAATGAAATTAGATTTCCAAAAATTGTTCACTCAGTGCAACATCTTATTCTAGTACAACAAGCTGTAGTGTTAAATCAGAAGAGGCCTGTCATTAGAAGTGTTTATATTTGGGATTTGACACTTGTTTCTGCGTGAAGTAGAGTACTACTTATATGCTGGTCTGTTCTGTCAAGTCACATAGAGTAGCAGTAATTATGAATGGTTCCTCAATGTGAAGCATGCAGGGCTCCTATTACTGTAACTTTGTTACAGAAAATTCTGAGTATGAAAAGCTCCTGATGCCCCCTTGTGGTATTGAAATAAATAAGAAAAGTTTCATGAAAGTTTCTATACCAGTTAGTTAACAGTGTGGACTGATTAAATGCTGATGAAATTTATGTTAAATATTTTTGTGACTGAATTTTTACTGTCAAGGGCCCTACTTTTCTAGCTGTATGACTAATTTTATAAAAACTGGTGATTATTCATGTGGCTTCTTGTTGCCTATCAAATGGTCCAGTTTGTGAGGATTTGGTCACAGACCTCTGAGACTGTCCACGGGGGGACCCTGAGTGCCCCCCAGACAGAAAACACCAGTCACCGAGCCCGGGGAGATGCGAGGGGGGGGGGGGCCTCGTGTGCTCTCTGGAGGACCCAGAAGTGAACTGGAAGTGCTTCTGGTCCACTTCTGGGTTGACTGCTGAGTGCGCTGGGGAACACCCCACGCTCCTGTGGGACACTCCATCTTCCCCACCATCACAGCATTCATGAGCCGCCTGGTACCTAGAGGTATGTGGAAAAAACATTTAAAGCTCTGTCTATATCCGAATTGCCGAATCTCTCTGAATCTCCAAATCAAATTTGAACCCTCTGAATTGATTCCAGTTTGATTCGGAGAGATTAAAGGGTCTCTTGATTCGATTCGGATTGAGATTCGGCCACGGAATTGGGCTGAATCTCCGCTGAATCGAATCAAGGACCGAAGCTTCGCACCGCCCTACTGTAATGTTAGAAGGTGAGAGCTTGACCCAGCTAAGGTCAGTGATAAAACTACCAATGAGTTCTATGGGGTCAGGGTTTCATTTAAATTTATTATGTTGAAGGTAATGTAGAAAATTATGATTTCCTCAGACAAATTAGTTATATCCTAAATACATTTAAATCTCTTTTGAACCTTAACTCCTTAAGCTAGTATCTAATATTTGGTATGTGTTTCCAAGTAATTGCTTAGAAGTCACTAGATTAATATGATAGAAACTTCTAGTTGAAATAGTTTCATTTGGTGCAATTACTATGTCAAGCCTTAAATTGAAGAAGCTAACAATTTTGCAGTTGTTGAAAACGTATGACGTAGATTTGCTTACCTACATCAGATTGCAACCAAACTACAATCAAAAGTCTTAGATTCTATATTTTTTCCTTCTTAAAATATAATATTTTGAATTCTTCATTAACATAACTTATACATGTAATAAATAGAATACATTTAGGAAAAAATATTGCATATTAAAGGGGCATGACATGACAAAACACACTAAGAATAGTCTAGCTATAGAATTCACTCTGCTGTAGAAAGTGGTTGCTAGAATCGTAAATGGCTCCTTGGTTTCTTTTTCTTGAAAACAGTACCTTGCAAACATTCAGTGTATGAAATCAAATAGGGCAGTGTTTTATCATATAGACTAATCTTGCATTTTTGTCAACATTTATGCCAGTGAAGTTGGGTTACATGGAGATCCACAGAAATCTAAGAATCTTCATCATTGTCCTGTAGACTCCCATCTCTAAACTTGAATATTTTTCAACTAACTATTCTCTCAGACTCGATTTTCCTTGTTGATGTTTGGCAATCTGTTTAACATAACAAAACCCTAAGGCTAGGGACAGACATTCAAAAAGCCTGAGCCTGAATTGATTCAGTCTTTGGAGGTTAGTCTAATCTGGCTAGGCTAAATCAGTTTGTAACCCAGACAGACACCCCAGAAATGCAGGCATATGCCTGCAGTGGCTCAGGCTAGAAGCTGGGGGTGCTAGAGCAGCCTTCTCTCTGCTTCCACTGGGCAGAGTTGAGGGGGTGTGGCCAGGCCACAGCAAGACATTCTTATTATTCCCCACCCCTCCAGAGCTGCCCAGCAGGGAATGTTTATCACCCCTAACTCAGTGTTATCAACCCATTAAGAAAACAAAGCCTCTCTCCATTAACTAATGGAGCTCTTCTTAAACAGCTCTTCCAAGGAAGGGCATTAAGCTACCTGTTGATTAGCTCTGACAAGCCTGTCTGCCTGTCATCTCCCACAGCATGGACCATAGCCAGCATGTGGTCTGCTAGCTAATGCTGATGTGTCTGTGTAAGGCAGAGGGGAGGGGAGAATAATCCCTGCTTAGTAAGGAGAAGCAAGGCAGATGCTCTGTGCCTGCAATTCTGTGCCAAGCTCCAGCCAGGAAGAAGAGGTGAGGGACCAGCCCTGCAGTGGAGCAGAGAGCCCCACCCAGCCCAGAGAGCATGCCTGAATGCTGGGGGTCTCTGATTTAACTTAAACCAGGAAGGGGTCTAAGACAGACATTGCATAAACTGGTTTGAGCCAAATCTGTTAAATCTGATTGAATTTTAGTAGTGGATGTTAAGAGTCATGAACCAAAAAGATGACAAAGCCAGTAGGGAAATACAAAGCGCCCAAGCAAGGGACTAACAAAAGAGGGATGGAGGTGAGGGGAACGCAACTAGTTTACAAAAAATACAATGTTAGCCAACTAAGCCCGGGGGGTGGGGGAAGAGGAGGGAGGGGGGTTGTGACGCTGAGAGAGAAAGAAGATAGATGCACACAAACCGGTACAATGGTCCGCAATGGTGGAGGGAGTAGGTTGGAGAAAGTTCCTCAGTCTATATACAGGCTCATCGCAGGGGTCCTCTTCAGGTGGAGTGGGGTGGTCCGTTGTTGAAGATTCAAAGGTGCAAAGGGGGGTTCAAGCAGGTTCAACCAGGTTTATCTCAAACCGGTTTCAGCCATTTTCAAGCTGGTTTATGTGCACTGAGCATCTGTTCTGTTACAGGTTTAAACCAGTTTCTGATCACTTCAACCGGTTTATGTGTAATGTCTGTCCCCAGCCTAAAGGTCTTAAGTTTCACGGTTTACCCCAAGCCTTCTCCCATTTCTTCACTGTGGACAGCATCACTGCCCATCACTGACTTAATACCCTGGATGGCTTCAACTTGGACCTTTCTCCATATCCTGGCTACATCTAGATGTGGGGAATCTATCTAACCCCTCTAAAACACAGTGTGTCCTATCCATTTACACAGCTCAAACCATCTGTGAGCTGATCATTAGGCCTGTGTGAATAGGGATGTATTTGATTCAGCTTTGGCAGATTCAGAGGGCAGTGATTCAATTTGGAGACTCGGATCACTGTCCCAAATTGATTCGGCTGAGTTGGCTTTGGAAGATTTGGCACCAGTTTGGAGAGATTCTGTGATTCAGATTGGCCAGGGAGAGACAGCCACAGCTGGGTGGCTGCAGGTTCTCCCATGGATCCTGTAGCTGTGCCTGCCTCTCCCCGGATGGGGGAAGCCATGGGGGAAGCCCCCATGGATGCCCTGCCTGGCCCATCTCCTGCCCAACCCCAGCCTACTCCCAGCACTTAAAAAAAAGCCCTGGATTCATTGGCTACAGCAGTGGCAATTGGGGCCTCTGGGCACTCGTGGCAGATGCCCCCCCAACGCAGTGGAGGGCAGAAGGGATCGCCCCATGCCTGGCACCCACGCAGCAGCTGCCCTGTGGCACAGGTGCGGTGTGGCTCAGCATGGCACCATGTGCTGCCTGGGAGCTGGGGCCACTGGGACTGAGCGGTGCCTGGCTCCTGCTGACGCATGGACAGACAGTGTGCAGCACCCTGACACCCAGATGCCAGGAGGGGGGAATCCCTACTGCCTCCCACTGCCCCATGCTGTGAGGGGACTCTGCCATGAGCCCTCAGAGGCCCCAATCACTGTTGGCAGAGCTGGTGAGTATGGAGCTTTTTTTCTTTTTTAAGTGCTGAGAGGGTGAGCTGGGCAAGGCAGCCATGGGGGCTTCTCCCACAGCTCCTCTGGCTGTGCCTGCCTCTGCCCCGGTAGGGGGAGCCACAGGGTCTATGCCCTGCTGCTGCTTGCCAAGTTGACACAGGGGGTGGGGTTGTGATGCAGGCTCGGCTCACTCCAGGCAGCAGCAGGGCATAGCCCCTGCACACGTGCATCAGTGCTGGGTTTGGGGGCTCTGCCCTGCCGCTGTTTGCCACTTGGCATGGAAGGTATAGGATGCAGGTTCCATCGCCCTGGGAGCAGGGGCTAAGCCCTGCTGCTGCTTGCCTTCTTCTGCCTGGACAGTCGGAGCCACACCCGCTTCCCACCCACCCCTGCCCTGGCTGAGCAAGTGGCAGCAGGGCAGAGAGCCCGCTCCCAGCACTGCCGCACCCTCATCCCACACCTCCCCGCCCACCTCCCTGAGTAACGCGTCCCCTTCGCCTTGGCTGGGCAGTTTGTCCCAGCCCCAATCCCTCCCTTCCCCACACCTCTTCCCTCCCCCAACCTCAACAGACTTACCAGCTTTAGGCAACTGTGTCAGGTGCCTGTTTAGTCTATGGCCGAATCTCCAAAGCAGCCAAATCTTTTCCGAAGCTTATCCAAATCAATTTGAATGTTTCAAATTGATTTGGAGCTTTTACTTGGTCTCCTGATTTGACTCGGATCCAGAGATTCGGTCCCTGAATCAGACCAAATCTCCTCCGACTCAAATCAGCTACTGAAGCTTCACACAGCCCTACTGATCATGCCTTCTAGTACCCAGTTTAGTGGAAATCACAGACCCACCTTTTCAGGATTAACAAACAAAAACAACAAAACAGACCCTTTATTTGAAGCATTCCTTTAATACAAAAAAAAAATCAGGCCTTTCTGCCTGTTACTCTTGACAAAAGAAGTTAAAAGATTTCTTTCCTCTTTCAGTTTACCCTCTTTTCCAGGTTCCTATTCACTTGCTCCTCTGTTATGGCAACATCTTTCTCTCTAGCCTTCAAAATGTAATCATACCCTGCTCACATGTATTTGGAATGCTATGCTGCAGAAACCATTTTCTATGCCACCTTTCTTTCTGCACCCATCTTCTGACTCCTTTTTCATCAAAAGTGTCAAGGTCCTTTATAACTTATCCCTAACCTACCAGTACTCCCTCATTTACCAGCAGAATGTTGATTCTGGCTCCCAATCATAGTTCTGTTGTCCATTGTTAAATTTTCCTTGCTCCTCATACTTGGGAGTAGTTCATAAATACCTGCAAACTAATACTTATTTTTGCAAATTCTTCCTTAATCTCCTTTGCTGTGTTCTTCTTAAAACAAACTTCTCCCCCACCTACCCACACACTTGAACATAGTTAAGCTGCCGCTATGGTGAGATGACAGTTTATCAGGCTGATTAGTGCCAATGTACTGTACCATTCCGACTCTCTGTCCATATCCATCAATTTTCTTCTGTCCAACAATTTGTCCATAAAAACTTTTAGTGTGGTGTCATATTGTTTGCTTTTTGTACACCATCTAATACAAATGAACCTTTGTCCACAACTGTGGCTCCTAGATATTATAGGAATAGAAAATAAACTCCAATAATATAAGCAGGCCAACATGGCTACAACCAAAAACCTACCAACAATATAGAAAGCTTATATATTCAAAAAGAAGAACAATTTGCTAATAGTTCTTCATTAAATGTATCTCTTCAGGCTCTTTATTTTATAGTTTTAATGGTTTTAATTAATCAATCAAAAATGGAAAATTTAAACTATCTTGTTTTCTGATGGTAGAAATAATTTAACTACAATATGTTCTCACAGAAAATAAGGTTAGATTGGTCACAAGAGGGCACTGTAATTTTACTTATTTGCTTGTTTTTCAGACCCACACCAATCTCAGTAAGATCTCACAAAAGAACTAAGTAGTATTGCCATTATCAAGCCTCATCCTCACCAACAATAAAGATAAAACAATAATTTGATTAAGAAGAAGTTACGTTGTTCAAAAATCATGTAAAAATTTTACTGCAGAACCTTCTGGGGTAGTGATGGTCAACCTCAGGATTCAGGATAGCATGGCTGATGATAAAGATTGTGAGAGTAGGAAAAGGCATATAAAGAAAATTCAGACTGAAAATGAGAAGGAAGGCTGTCTGACTTCAGAAAACCAACTTATGTATTCATCAAAGCCTTAAGTGTCAATAGACACCTCAACAGACAAGCCATCACAGAAGGAGTATTGATTTAGTAGAGATTAATTGTAGCCTCAAGCATGCCATGTTTATTATGTTGAATAAGCACAACAAACAGCTGGAGGAACATGTTTGTCTTTACACTTGATGGCATTCTTTTCCCTCAAGGTCCGACTCATGAAAAAATAATTAGGCATTTAGGTTGAATTGTTTATACTTTTTTGTAATCTGGCTGTTGGGGTAGATCTATTTTTAAGGTGCAGGAGGTCCACATGTTTGTAATGTGTGTGCATGTATGGGGGAGTGTGCATGCATGTGTGTTTTCTTTTTTTAATTGCACGTATTTGAATGAGCCTTATCCTGAAGTTGTCATTTAATAATACTCTCATTAAAATCATAACTACATTCATGGTCTGTTCATGTTATTTTGAAGATGGTATTTCCTGTGTGACTATACAGTAACCAGTGTGTTATAAGTAGATCTAGTTTTAAAAACAAATTTCCAGCTTTCCTAGTGAAATGTAGACTCATCAAGAGAAATTTAACAAAAAGATGAACATTTCTTTGAAATCAGTGGGAATAATATAGTTCAGCAGGCAGCAGCAGGTGGGGAGCTAGGCTCTGCTCTGCTGCAGCAGCTGCCGCCTCCTGCTGGGGGAAAGGGGCTGCAGGCCCAGGTCCCTGGCCCCATAGACCTGGCAGATGGGGGCCCCCTCCAGCAGAACTGGGGGGGTCAGGGCTGTGGGTGGGGGCCTATGGGCACCAGCAGGGCTGGAAGGGCTGTGGGGGGAAAGGTGGGGAGTGAGAGGCAGAATCATAGAATCAAAAGACCGGAAGGAACCTATAAGATCATCAAGTCCGGTCCCCTGCCATGGGCAGGAGGTTATTGGGCTCAAATGAGCTTAATGAGGTGCTTGTCCAGCCTCCTCTTGAACTTGTCCAAGGATGGTGACTGCACCACCTCTGCTAAGCGCGTGTTCCAGATTTTAGATACCCTTATGGAAAATAAGCTTTTCCTAGTGTCCAACCTAAATTTTTCCTCAATTAGCTTGGGCCCATTGGTCCTTGTCCTTCCTGGGGATGCCTTTCTGAAGAGTTACTCCCCTACATCTCAGTATTCACCCTTGACAGACTTGTAGGTGGCTATCAAGTCACTTCTCAGTCTTCTCTTGCTCAGACTGAACAAACCCAGTTCCCAGAGTCTCCCCTCATAGGACCTATCCTCCAGGCCTCATATCATATGGGTGGCCCTTCTCTGTACCCTTTCCAACTTATCCACATCCTTCCCAAAGTTCAGTCAGAGTACTCCAGCTGTGGCCTCGCCAACACTAAATAGAGGGAGAAGAGCATCTCTCTGGATCTGTTGACAGCACATTGGCTGGTACACTCCAGAGTTCTATTTGCCCTGCTGGTGACTTCATCGACTGTTGGCTCATGATCATCTTCTGGTTGATTGTCGCCTCCAGATCCCTTTCAGATGCAGTGCCAGCCAGTGAACCACCACCCATCATATGGTTGTGGCGAAGGACCCGGCAGTTGTCCCTATTGAACCTCATCTGATTGCATTTAGCCCATAGGACCAGTCTTTCAAGGTCATCCTGGATCCTTACGCTACCCCAAGATGTGCCCACATTTCCCCACAGCTTGGTGCCATCTGCAGACTTGATCACTGCACTTTCCACCCCCTCATCCAAGTCATTGATAAAGATGTTAAAGAGCATGGGCCCAAGCACTGGTCCCTGGGGGACACCGCTGGAGATGGCCCTCCAGGATAACGTCCCATCGATTACAACTCTCTGGGATCGGCCTCTGAGCCAATTGCCAACCCACCTCACTGTAGACTGGTCTTGATCCTTAATTGAAAGGATCTCATGGGAGACAGTATCAAAGCCTAAGTAAATGATATCAACCTCATGTCCCTTGTCTAGCTGGTTAGTTACCTGGTCATAAAAGGACACCAGGTTTGTTAGACATGACCTACCCTTGACAAAGCCATGCTGGTTGCTTCTTAATACCCCACCAGTTATGAGCTTGTGGTTGATGGCCTCCTTGACAATTTTTTCAAAGATTTTTCCCAGGACCAAGGTTAGACTGTAGTTTGCAGGGCCATCCCTCTTCCCTTTCTTAAAAATGGATACCACATTAACCCTCTTCCAGTCATTCAGGACCGCTTCTGAGTTCCGCGACTCTTTGAACAGCTTTGCCAGAGGCCCTGCTATGAGCTCAGCCAGTTCTTTCAGGACTCTCAGATGTAGGTCATCTGGACCAGCAGACTTGAATATGTCCAAATGTACTACCCTCACCTGTTTCAGACTGATTTCATGTGGACTGTTGTCTTCCCCATATTCCCTGAGCCTCTGGACAGGTGAACAGCTCCCATCTGATTTCAGGAACACAGATGTGAAGTAAGTATTTAGGAGCTCTACCTTTTCACAGGGATATACTGTGGGCTGTTGCCCCAAATTCAGTAGGGGTCCCACAGTGTAGCTTGATTTTTTTCTTGCTCCCTATGAGCCTATAGAAGGACTTTTTGTTGTCCTTTATTTCAGTTGCCAGCTTGATCTCCATGCCTGCCTTGACTTTCCATGTCTCATACCTCCATACCCTGGCCATATGATTGTACTCCTCTCTGGATGCTGAACCATTTTTCCATTGCTTATATACTTCTTTTTTCTTTTTCAAGAGTTCCCTGATATCCCTGTTGAGCCAAGTGGGTCTCTTGGTCCCTTTCCCACTTTTTGACCGTGTGGGGATGGCCTCTTTATGAGCAGTGAGTATTGTCCCCTTAAGGACTCCCAAATCATCCAGTTGCTGGTTGCAGAGGACCCTTCCAACTAGACTCCTGAGTTTACCAAAGTCTGCCCTTCTGAAGTCTAGGACTTCTATTCTACTGGCTGAATTCCCAGCCTTTCAGTGGATGGTGAACCTAATCCGGTCACTGTCGCCCAGAGTACCTCCAACCTTCAGGTTGCCTACCATGTCTTCCCCTTTGGTCAGCAATAAGTCCAGAGTGGCTTTACCTCTAGTTGGTCCTTCCGCAGCCTGTGTCAAGAACAGGTCATCAATAGCTGCAGGGAATTTGGTTGATCTTCTGGAGCTGGCTGAATGGTCTTTCCAACAGATGTCAGGGTAGTTGAAGTCACCCATAATAATCATAGTTTCA